TGGAGGTAGGGGAGCAGAGGGAGAGCTCCCCTGCCTGGAGGAAGCTCCCACCCCTGTGGCATCAGGCCCAGGACCTTGGGGCTCAGCTGCCTCCTCCCTCTGTCCTCAGCTATTGATTTATTTATGTACTTACTTATTTACTTACTTATTTAAATGACTTTTATTAATTCCAGAGAGGAAGGGAGAGAGAGAACCAATGGTTGCCTGCCTTCTGCACTTCCCCTACTGAGAATCAAGCCTGCAACCGGGGCCAGGGCCCTGACCAGGAATGGAACCGGTGACCCCTTTGTGCATGGGTTCCTGCTCAACCCAAGGAGCCAAACCGGCTTGGTGTCCTCCTCTCTTTGTCTCCCTGCAGGGCCTGACCAGGTGCAGCTCCTGAAGGCATAGGCTTTGGGCACAGAATAGAGGCTGTCTGGGAACTCTGTACCAAGGTGAATCACACGGGCCCAGATCTGTGTTCTCAGTGGTTAGAGCGTCAGCCTGCACAGCCAGGGGCCAGGGATCGGGTTCCAGGTCAAAGGCACTTATCTCAGTTGCAGCTTTGATCCCTGGCCCCGGGTCATGGAGTGTGTGGTTGGCAACCAGTGGATGTTGATGTTTCACTCTCTCTGCCCCCTCCTTCATGCATCCACCCTTTATATAAAGATCAATGGAAAAAATCTCCTCAGGTGAGGATTTGAAAAAAGAACCATATTTAATGTAAAACTTTAAAAAAACCAAAACTAATGAAATTTCATGGTGAATGGAATATCGACAGGCTAAGTGAAGACTGATCAGTTACAGAGCCATGGGAGCCATGGTTTGCTGATGTAGAAAAGTCCTCACTGCTGATCTGCCCTTTGTAGATGCTGATATTATGTGATTCGTGAGTCGCCTTCCCTTTGACCATGTAGATCCTGCATTGAAATAGCGTTCATCCTGACGCTGAGCTGTGCCCCTTCAATCCTGTGGTGGAGGCCAGAGCCTCACCTGCCTCTGGCTGGTGCCTCCCTCCCCTGTTCACAGCAAGTGACAGATCCCTCTTCTCCCTGCTCTGTGCTCAGGGATCCAGACATGCAGAGTTCTGCTTCCTTGATCTGGTTTCTTTGTGGCCCCTGGATAAGGGGAAGCAGTACAGACTCACCTGGTACATCTCCTGGAGTCCCAGCTATCACTGTGCCCAGAAACTGGTTAAATTCCTGGGCGAGAAGAGCAACGTGAGGCTGCGCATCTTCGCTGCTGGCATCTCTGAGATTGTCAGTAGATTTGAGGATGGGCTGCGCGACCTGCGGGACGCTGGGGCCGAACTTGCCATCATGACCCTCACAGGTCAGCAGGGACTCCTGAGGGTGGGAGGTGGGCGGGCAGAGAGGCTGGGAAATGGCTACACAGAGGGGGCAGGAGGAGAATCCAGGTGGGGAAGCCTGTCAGCTGCCTGCAGGGGGGCTGCTGGGTCTGGAGAGGATGGAGTCCCCTGGAGGAGAGAGTTCAGGGGAGAGAGGGGGTCTTGGGAAGGGGGAGGTGGGTCCCTGTGTCATCAGGAGACAGGCCTTCCTGGTAGAAGGGGAGGGGCTGCCTCAGAATTCCAGTGGAAGAGAGAATTTAAAGAATGAGCTCAGTGCCTTGGGAGGAGAGAGAAAGGGGGCAGGCAGATTCTGATGGGGAGGTTGTTTCCCTAGAGTCAGAGACCTGGGCCCTCCCCGAGCTTTAGAAGGAGCTCACCTTTCCCTCCCTGTTCCCATAGAGTACGAGCACTGCTGGGACACCTTCGTGGACAACCAGGGCCAGCCGTTCCATCCCTGGACTGAACTGGAAAAAAACATAGGAGCCCAATGTCAGAGGCTGGAGAACATTCTCAGGGTGAGGTTCCTCCCTCCTGCTCCCCCCTCCCCTTCTCTCCCTGGGCCTGTCTCTGCCTCTGGGTCACCTGCTCCCTCCTGGGCCCCAGCTCCATCCCTCCCCTCAGGTCTCACAGTCCCTCTGCTTTCTCCCCTCCTGCGCCCCTTTTCCTTCCCCTCCTGTGACTGCCCCAGACCCTGCTCTGTTCACCTTCCCACCTGCCTCACTCCCTGCTTCCTCCACCTCCTCCTTCTCCATCCAGAATCAGGGAAACTGAAGGACGGACTCAATCTCTCTAAACCGTCGGGTCTTCTGGTGAACGACGCATAAAACACTTTCTTCAAGAAATGAAAACGCATCACGTGCCGCATCCCAAACTTTATCCGCAGAAACCAGCAAAAGGCAACAAATGAGCTCAGAAGAAATTTTTTAAAAATCTGATTGATTTACTTTTCATTTAAAATCTATGATATGTTCTAAATACACACCAGTAATATTGTATTCATTACTA